ACTCCTGTCTCACATTGAGGTCTTTCAACCATTTGGAGTCTATTTTTGTGTGTGGTGTAAGGAAATGGTCCAGTTTCATTCTTCTGCATGCAGCCACGCTTGTTTCTGTAGGAATCTACGGGATGGCCAGCCCCAGGCTTTTTGAAACCACTGCAGTTTCAGAGCAGACTGTGGTCTCCTGGTCCACACTCCCCAAGAGGCTGGGCCACAGGCCTCAGAGACCCTCACAGGGGTGAGGTTCCTGGGGCAAACAAAAGGGGCTCAGTCTAGGAGCTTTATTTCTGGCCTTGCCTATTGATGTTCCTGTACTGCAGCCACCTTAAGAGCTCAAGGCTAGGGTCGAGGTCATCTGTCCTCATCCAGTCTCTGTCTCCCCTCTTCTCTGATCCTCAGTACCCGACTCTAAAATGATTTCACTGCATGGACTTCAAGATGTGACATTCTAATTTTCTGACCCCTTTCTTTATCTCAGAATTCACACACACACACACAATTTCTCTTCCTTTAAATATGTCTCTAAATACCTGCCTTGTTTTGCTATTGTCTTTCTCCCTCTTTTCCTTCTTCTCTTATACCCTGCTTCACAAGACACACATTCTCTTACTAAAACCACAGTCTCTTTATTTACTTTGATCTTCACGGGTTAGCACAGAATGCCCCCTTTAACCACAGATGAGTCACCCTCACAATTCCATGAAAGAGATGTTATTATCATCTCCACTTTACAGATGAGGAAACTGAGGCTAAACCAAAAAAGGCAAGTTGCGTAACCTCTCGCATATTTTTGAACGGAGGCCTTGAGATGCCAACCTACTTTTTCTGTCCTCTCTCTGTCCACCACGATGGGTGAGGCCAACACCCTAGTGGAGAAATAGCCATGATCCCTACCCCCTGGTGATGTTGGGCTGGAGTTCAGCTGCCCCTCATGGAGAGAGAGCATTGTGAAGGAGTGTCGGGGTGTCTGGAGTCACTCAATCCTCGGTTCAAATCTGCTCTATCACTTGCTTGCTCCATCTCTGTGAGCTTCGTTGTCTCACCCAGAGGGGCAGAGCTGCAACACCTTCGTCAAGGGGTTATTCTGAAGCATAAATGAGATGCCATGTGGGAAACAACATTATAAAGTTGGGAGCCCTGCCCAAATTTTCATTTTTATTATCATCATAGTATCATTGCTCCTTGTTCTCTACTTTCCTTGCTCTATCTGTCCCCATTCAGATTCCCACAAATATTTGTTAAATGGCCGTTACTATCCAAATTTGGATGCTTTCTTCTAATTCTGTTTATTTCATCAGTCCCCACAATAATCCTGTGATGTGTAATTAACATCCCACTTTTCAGATGAGGAAGCTGAGGCCCAGATATGTTGTAAGATGTCCTCAAGCTCTGATAGCCAGCAGGTGCCCGGCCCTGATTCTCTCCTCCCTGCTTTGTCTTTCCCAGTCCAGCACATCCTTTAACCGGGATGCTGTGAAAGCAGGAACTGGACGTCGCTTCCTCGGTGGGCTACTGGACCACACTTCCTATTGCTACACCCTGGAGGTCTCCTTCTACAGCTACATCATCGGGGGTACCACAGCCGCTGTGCCCTACACTGAGGAAGCCTGTATCCTTGCGAGTCCCCCCAACCCTGGGCCAGCCCACATCCTGCGGGGAGTATCCAGGTCTGGCAAGATTTAATGGGCATATCAGGAATCTGGTCTCCAGCTCGGTGAGGGCTGACACTCTGGGGTGAGAATGGAGGCTGTTCTGCTTGTGGCACCTTTGGATTGTCCTGTTTCGCCCTTGCCCTTGTAATGGACACCCCCCTTCCCAGCTGCCTCTGCTATGGCCTTATGCTACTCCCATCTCTGTCTCCCCTCCACGCCCTCATGAGGGAGTGAGTCTTCTGCCATCTAAGGTGTATAAGCACACAGGCTGGAGGACCATCCCTCGGGTTGCTGAGGAAGACCTGGGTGGTCTTGACTCCTCCTTCTAACCCTGAACATGTAAAACTATATCTTCTCTTTTCACCTCCCATCTTTTTATACTCTTGTGTTCTTTCTCTTCTCTGCTCACCAGTTTTCCTTGTACCCATTTTTCTCCCCTTGTCTTCTCTCCTTCTAGCTCTATCTGTGTTTTTATGTCCCCTCCCTCCTGGTTTCTCTCTTCTCTCCATCCTCCTCTCCTCTCTTTCTCTCCCTGTGCCTCCTCTCTGTCTGCCCTGGCTTCCTTCCCATCCTCTGTACATCTTTCTCTCTGCTTTGGCATTTCCTTCACCAAATTGCTTTTCCTCTTAACTTCGTCATAAAATTTCTCCAAAATCCCCCACACTTGTTATAATGAAGTTGGAGGTTACTTTCTTTTTTTTTTTTTTTTTTGAAGTTGGAGGTTACTTTCTAGCTTGCTTGACTTTCTAGGGATTATTTAGTCATTCTAGTTTCCTGGGTGTTGATTTTAATATCAAGGTCATTGCATAAGGATTGTGACAGATTGTGACAGTTTTTGTGTTCCTTTATCCTTTTGGTTTTGGGACTGACCCATTTCTCCTCTCCTAACACTGAGTTTTCTTAGAGAAAGAATTATAGTTGATGGAGGAGAAAGGAAATGGATGATATTAACTCTCTCTCTCTCTCTCTCTTTCTCTCTCTCTCTATATATATATATTCTCTCTCCCTAGAAGTAGAAGTGTTCCTTTTAGCCTTTTTCAACCTTGGTAAGTGTTTCTGGAATTCCTGCCATACTCTATACAGGAAAACCTCCCTTCTGGTGGGGCCATGACTCCAGACTAGTCCACCCAGTCAGTTGCAGCCTGGTGGTTCTGGGGGTCCAGTTACTTTGCTGAGTACCTGGAGGCAGGGTGATGGCCCCCAACAGAAGGGTGAGCTGTAGGTAGACCAGGTGTTAGAGCAGTGTTCCAGATCCAGCAGAACATTGAAGAGATCGTGATAAGATCTGAGAGTCCCCCTCCCTCCAGTCACCAAGCCTGAGACAGTCATCTTGAAATCTGCTTTAATAACTACTTGGCCTAGCAAGGCCAAGGGAGTAGGCTCTGCTGTGAGGCAGAGGACCCTGGCCACCTCTATGTGCCACACTGTCCCTCCCCCGTCCCCGACACTTGATGCATGGCCATGACTTCTCTGGGACCTGCATACACCGATGGGTGGCACTCCACACTGCACCTGCTTTGCTCTCCCCTAATGTTGAGGGAGTTGCCTGGAAGAAGCATTTGAGCATGCACACCAGAGGGGATCCCACATGTTTATTCACATAGGGCCATAGGTCCCTCCAGAGAAGACCTGCACTTAGTCTGTGGTTGGTATCTGATGTCAGAGGTGCTTTCTTAGCACCTCACCCACTTTTGTGTTGGAAGTAAATGTGTTTCTTCGTAGAATGCCCCTCCCTTGGCCTAGGCCCAGATTTCCTCCTCAACTCCCAGTCCACATTCATCAAAATAAACACACTGTCAATACGTGCCAGGAATCCTACAAGGCACCCAGGGTAAAATACTCAACAAAAAGCCATGGTCCCGACTCACAGAGCTCTCGGTCTACTTGGGGAGACAGAAAAGGAAAGAGGCAATTCTAATAGGTATGGTAAGTTCTGTAGTAGAGGAGTTCCAGAGCATCATGGGAAACTTCCCTGTGACAAATCCGTATGACTGTCTGCCATAAGCCAGGGTAAGTTCTAGGCTCGGTGGTTGTAGCAGTGAACATGCTAAAGACAAAAATGTCTTCGTATGGAGGGTAAGAGGAGACTCAAGCACAATTTTGGGAGGTCAAGGAAGGCTTCCCAGTGGAAGTGACATCTAAGCTGAGTTTTTAAGATTGAGTAGAAATTAGCCAGATTGGGTTGGGGTGGATTACTGGAGGGAAGACGTGGCAGACAGAGGGGAGGAAGGACATGGAAGACAGAGCGGAGGAAAGAAGGTGTGCAGGAGGTAGGAAGTGGTCCTGAATGGCTGAAGGACTTTGGATGCAGGAGATGACATTGAAGTGGCAGGCTGTGAGGAATTTGAACTTGAACATGAAGGCAATGGAGAGCAATAGAAGGGTTTCACACGGTGGTGGAAAGCCTCTCTGGCCACAGTGGGAAGGACAGATTAGAGGGGGCAAGACTGTGGACAAGGACACTCATAGGAGGCTGTTCTGATGATCCAGGGGGAGATGAGTCAGGCCTAAACCTGGGGGCTGCTGGGGAGTCTGTAGAACAGGGAACTCCATACATGTGGATTTGGTAAGTGATGGGATGGGGTGTCAGTGGGGAGCAGGAGCTAGTGATGGGAAGGAGTCCAGAGTGGACAGGGAGGTGGTGCACGCGGCACACAAGCTGAGCAGACCAGAATGCCATCGGAGCTGCCCTGCCTTGTTCCATCACCTGGAGAGAAGAGGAGGAACCAGGACTTGCACCAGGGAGGCCAGGCCCATTCACCACATGACAGTGACTTAACCTTGTTCTTGTTTGAAATGCATGTTTCCTCTCATAATAGAGGGAGGCTTGAGGCAGACAGATTTTGATCTTTGTTGGCTGCTGGCTCTGCGTCCCAATCACAGAGAGAAATTACATGGTCTGAGGGAGATGGCAGTATGGTCTGGGAGGAAGACTCCAGACCTGGGCTGTGATGACAGCACCAGCATCATCCCAGAGAGCGCCCTTCAGCAAGTCCTGTACCCTCCACAAGGTGAGCCCGTCCCCTTCATAGAGGGACCATGAACCTTCGCTCTCCTAATCCCTGCTATTGGAATTAAATAGAGACAGTCACGAAAAATGGGGCATTGAGCAAAGAGCAGACTTTCAACTGAAACAAATCTGGGTTTGAATCCTGGCTCAGCCACTTGCTAGATGTGTCACCTTGGGCAAGTTTCGTCATCTGAGTGGACCTCAGTGGCCTCATCTGTAATGGGAGGACATAGCACTAAACCTCACTGAGTTGCAAGGAGTTAAAATGAAATAATGTATGTGAGTCGGCACCATCAGCTTTCAATATGAAGTGACTGCCGGTTAAAACATCCAAAAGGTGTATGTGACCATGAATGAGGACCTACATTTGTGTGAAGAAGGGGCTGTTAGAACAAGAGGCCATGGCCCTGTTGGTAGGGTTCATGGTCTCGGTAGAGTCACAACGGAGGGCCTTGGCCTCACAGCACCAACTGGCTCTCGGAGTGGGGGTGTGTAGTTCCCATGGTGGGGTTTTCACATCTGCCCCCCAGAGCAGCCCTTCTCGCGTTGGGGTACGCGGAGGACACGTTAGTTATCCAGGGCACGCTGGGTGAGAGTAAGGCCAGTGAAGGGCTCGAGGAGGAGGGAATCCTGAGGGATGTTGCACCTGGGCCCACAGTAGCGTCCACCTCTCCGCCCACCAGAACATATGTATCTGTCAGTTTAATTTTTCTCCCTGGAAAAGCACCAACTAAACATTATCAGGGGCTTGTTCTCCAACTTTCCTTCTCCACTCCATCAGGGAAATGCAACAACGGACACAGTAACTGATGCCTCCCTCACTGTGTGACCTTGGGCTGCCTATCTCACCACTCTGCACTTATTTCCCCATTTGTAAGATAAAAATAGTGATAACAGTCTGCAAGGTTCTTACGAGAGTGAAATGATGCCGTGTATCTCCAATCCACAGGCACTGCCTGGCACATGATACGTACTCAACAGATGTTCCTTCTGCCCCGACTTTTCTCACCCCCATAAGGACTGCATAGCTTTCCTCTTATTGGGTGAGTCTTTAACCTGATCATCTGGCTCAGAAGCCAGCATCCGGGATTTGAATGCTGACTCTACCACCATTACTAAGGGAACCCTGAGCAAGCCCTGCTTTTCCTTAGCCTCGGTGTCTGATACTTCAACCTGTCAGAGCCGTAGAATGACATCATGGGTGGACTTGATCTCTACTGTGGTCCCGTCTGGCTCTGATATTCTAAGATTTTTTCTGATTCTGAATTCTAAAATTTTATAATCCCATGCTTAGATGAATTTATAAAATCAAGAATCCACAATTCTGTTGTTTGGTGAGTCTGAAGATGGAGTGATCCCGTGAGCGTAAGTGTTCAGTCTAATAGGGAAAATCAATACAAAGGTGTCTTAGACAGCCGATCAAGCTAAGCCCATAGCTACTTTCATTCTTTTATTTAAGGGGCTCTTAACTGAGGGGCTTCTGGATGGGCTTCAAGAAGAGCCTATGAACTGTCTACAGTTTATACAAAACTGTGAGTAAAGATGCACAGTTCATTTTCTGGAAGGAAGACTCGTGACTTTTAACAGAATCTAAAAGGGAGACATCCTCAGAGGCTTCTGCCCTGGCTGATGGTCTCCGTCCATGTGTCTGATGTAGGAGTCCTGCGCGTCAGTTCTGCTTTGCATCATTCTAGCTAAGGGCCTTAAACCAGTTATTTAACCACTCTGAACCTAGTTTCTTCATCTGTAAAGTGAGGATAACAATTATTTGCTTCACAGAGTTGTTTTGAGGGCTAAATGGAAGAATGCAGATAAATCACTGGGCACACACTCAGTGCCATTAAATATCAGTTCCCTCGCCTTTCCTTCCGTGGTTTGTTGTTTCTGTTGCTGTTGTGAAATGATAAATTCTGGAGAATTTTGGACCATTCTTCAACAAACCCTATT